ACCCCTGGTATAAGGATTAGGATTCAGTAGTGGTAGTGCTGATCTCAGTGGCTGAGTCCTGGTAATAACTGTTGCTGGAAGCACTGGATAGATTCCATTATGGTGTAACAGGCTTAAAATGGTTCACCAATTCTTCCCTCTCCTGTAAGTTCTTTCAGGAGAGCTAGGACTCACATACAAAGAGTTATCAACTTTCTCACCAAACTATATACTGTGGTTCCTGGCATTCTTTTGAAAGAGATAGTGACTATTGTGAAACAGTGTTTGTGATATAAATATTTCCTTTCAGCCCAGTTCTAATCAAGGCTATATAGAAATCTGATTTATTTCTGTGTGGGACACTTCCATGTAAGAAAGCTTTGGTTTGCATCATAAATTCTCCAAAGCCACTTCCAGGCCTCCCAGAACATTGGAGGTGCTGCTCTACATCTGCTGTGCCTACCCAAGTCATTTTTCAAAGCTTGGTGGCCTTGGGGAAAATTCATATTTCTAGGAACAATAGTTACTAAGGACAATTGAATAACAAAACAATGGAGTATATGCCTTTTAAGCTTGGCTAGAATGACATTAACCCCTAGAATAGCTTCAGAAACCTTGAGATCTAGTTTTATAATACCATTGTAATATAATAATATAATAAATTGTTCAGCAAAGCTTTGGGTGAGGGTGCCAGTCCTGGAAGCTGACAAAGGCAAGTAAGAGAAGGAGCACCGTTCGACAGTGGAATTTGCTGCCAAGGAGTGTGGTGGAGTCTCCTTCTTTGGAGGTCTTTAAGCAGAGGCTTGACAACCATATGTCAGGAGTGCTCTGATGGTGTTTCCTGCTTGGCAGGGGGTTGGACTTGATGGCCCTTGTGGTCTCTTCCAGCTCTATGATTCTATGATTCTACCTGTTTTCGCAAAAGAAAATGTTGCTAAGTACAATACTGGGTGTGTACAAAATGTGAAGTATGAAGGGTACTTAATCAGGTACAATAGGGCAGAGACCGGGAAGAGGAGGAAGTCTAAGAAGGAGCAGTGTGAGATGCAGTGAGGAAGCAGATTTTGGATGCTATGGTGAAAGTATGAGACCTTGAGGTAGATGGAAATATAACACAGGAACTGCTTTTAAAGGAATGGTTCTATTAAAAGGGATTAATGCTATATTTATCATCATCATCAATATACTGCCTTTCTCCCAGAACTGGAATTCAAGTTATCTCACAAAAATTAAAACAAACATATAAAAGCATACTCTCCAACATTTCTCCGATGAAAATAGGGACGTCCCATTTCATAATGATAATTTTACAAATTATACCCTGCACATCTTACTGGGCTGCCCCAGCCACTCTGGGCAGCTTCCAACGTAAAACATTAAATGCTAAAAAACCTTCCCTATACAGGATTGCCTTCAGACGACTTGGGGGTTGGGTAACACCATACCCTCCAACATTTCTCCAATGAAAATAGGGACATCCTAAGGAAAAGGGGGGCATTCTGGGATCAAATCAGAAACCAGGACGGCTTCTCTAAATCAAGGGTGTCCCTGGAAAATAGGGACCCTTGGAGGGTCTGTAAAAGTTTATGGTTACAAAGTAATTGAACTATCTATAGAATTAAAAGAACATAATAACATTTTGAATAGTTTTAAACAATGTATTTGAAATTGTTGTCACCTACCCAGAGGGTGGGTGGTGGCAAATATTATTTTATTTTATTAAGTCAGTGATCTTATACAGCATGGGTGGCGACATGGGGGCAGCTGCCCCCCTAAATAAGTAAAAATCAATACAAATCAATACAAATCTGAGGTTCTGCCCCCCCCCAACAAAAGCCTGTCCCCCCAACAAATCCTGGCTACACCCATGTTAAACAGATTGTGTTAAACAGAAGAGGGTGAGCTGTTCCTCCTTCTTGACACTTAAGCCAGATACGACAGGGAACAAGTCATTCCTGGTATTAATTTGTTATCCTATGGTAACAGCAAAATATGAGCATGATCCTGCATTTTAGGGCCGAGAAATTTCAATTGGAGACTCAAGCATATGCTGGACATCTTGCATTAAAAATAAAAATAAATTTTACATTTTTAAAAAATGGGATATAATACGTATTACCATACTTTGGTTGCTTGGTGGCCTCAGATTGTGTGTGGGTTTGTTTGTTTTTTAAATAGACCCACTTTCAACAACAACAGAAAACCTCATGGAGAGCTTTTCAGAAATCCAGTCATAACAATATTCCACCTTTGCAGCCACCACTTACATAATCAGTCCAGGCACAAAACTTCATGGGTCTTTTTGATGCCATTATTCTCTAGTGTTTTGTTGTTTTTGCCAAGGTTGCCACCATTTGAATTGTTTTGGTATTTTCATCACCAGCCTGTGAATATACATCTTTAAGTGATAAATTCACAAAAACACTTTAAATAGAGCAGGTCTGTCCAACTGTTTGCCCAAGGACATTCTAATCTGCTGGGCCTACCAAATTTGAGAAAATGTATGTAAAAAGAAAATTCCCACGGTTGTAACTCATAAGGAAAAAAAAAACATTTTCAAGTTTTAAGAAATAAATGCTTTGACTTTTCAATTGTGCACATAATATTAGTGGTATGATAAAGTGAATGTGGATTTTAAAAATCACTGTATTAGAAGTGCCATATTAAAAATTAGGAATAAATACAAGCCCAGGTTGTGGCAAAAGACACCTTTATGAATTTCACCACAAGAAGCTTTTGCCAAAAAAGAGATGACAGGCAAAGAGAAATGGATAACATACCAAGAATTAATAGAACTGCATCAAGGAGATTACAAAATTAAAACAAGGGAGCAATTAATAATGGAAGGTTACAATCTCCATTGGTTCCCTTATATGCAGTTAGTTGAGAGATTCATGCTGGAAATAATTTTGCCGTAGAGCAAGAAAAGACAGACTTTGAAAATCAACTGTGCACAGATGATGAACATGAATTTTGCAGAAATTTGAAACTGAAGAACAGGTTAAAGAATACATGATTAAATGGGGAGGGGAAATTCATTCATTCATTCATTCACATACATACATACATAGCCACCCAACGGACTGGGTGACCCCAGCTTCCAATAAATTAAAACACAATATGCATATAGAACAGTGGGAACATATGTGGACTAAGGGGTTAAATTTTACATTGTGTTATGATCTTAAAGAGATTTTTTAAAAATAAAATGATGTTTTGCTTGTATTTAACTCTTGAGAAACTATTCAGAATGTATAAGATGTTTCAAATGTTTGCTGGAAATCAGTGGCGGAGGAAGAGGAGTGGGGGGGAGCGCACCGCCCCTGGCAGCACGGTCCTGGGGGGGTGCCATTGCGGCTGCCCCCCCTGCGCTGGGCGCCATGCCCCCGCAGGCAGTGTCCCATGCCCCCAGGACATGCGCCAGCCACCCTGCCTGCTCTCCGCCCCCCCCCCCCGGTGCAGGAGCATGAAGCTCTGCCACTGCTGGAAGTGCCAAGAACATGAAGGGACGTTCTGTCATGCTTGGTGGACTTGTAAAAGGGCTAAAGAATATTGGACACAAATACATGCATTAATACAGCAGATTTTAAAGCTTAATATTCAGTTGAAGCCATAACTCTTTCCTTTATGGTTAAATATAAACAGCTGGAAAAGGATTGTGGAAGTTTACTCCAAAATGTGATTACAGTGGTGAGATTGCTATATGCACCAAGATCAAAAGATACAGCCTTACCCACTATAGAAGAATGCTGATAAAACTATTGGACTTGGCTGATATGGCAAAGTTAACATGCTTAATTAGAGAAAAAACATTACTGACATTGATTAGGGATTGGAAGTTTCTTATGAATTTTTTTCGTTAAAGAGCAAATGGACTTGAATAGCTGGATTTTGAAGACTGAAAAAAAATACTGATTTATAGAAGATAGAATGTTTGGCTCTTATGGAGTGAATACTATATTTAGCTGCAGAACAGAGAGTCAGAAATCCCTTTATTCTTTTTTATCTTTCTGTAATCTTTTCTCTCTCTTTCTCTTCTCTCGCTTCTCTTTCTTTAGATTTTCCTTTTTCTTGTGTTTTCTTCTTTCTGCCTTCATTCTTTTTTAGACTAAGTAGCTGTTTTATATCAGTATATTATAAAATATGCTTTGTAATTGGTAAGTATTTTTGGTATATCTCTGAATAAGTATCAATAAATACAATTTATTTATTTTTTTAAAAGAACAATTTTCTTTGTCTGTGCCTGCTCCATAACTGGGCAGATCTGTGAATCCTGCACCACCACCCAAAAAAAGAGACATTCCCACAGAACCAAAAGGTGGCCAAAAGGCTAGTCAGAGGGATTCAGGATGGAGAATCTCCATGTGGAAAGTCTCCTGTTTACAGAGAAAAGAGCATTGCCTGGAAACTAGGTAGGGTTGCCACCTGTCCTGTATAATACAAGAATGTCCCTTATTTCAATGTAAAATGTTGTGTCCTGTGTTTATTCAATACAGAATGCAGCTTGTCCGGTATTTCACCTGTTTCCGCTCTGCTCCTGTATGCTCTCTCTCCCCCACCTGGAGCCCCTCATCGTCCACCAGCCACCTTCATGGGTATCTCCTCATTAATCCAGGACAGAGGACCTAAAATTTAAAAACAGCTAAGTTAAGGAGGGAACGGAAAATAAAAAAGAGTGGGCTTCCAATTCAGTATCTGCCAATTGTATATATAGTGATCATTCAAATTATTCAAAACCTATACTATAGGATAACATCTATCAGGATTCAAAATGACCTTAACTGATTGGAGACTTGGGCTGAAACTCACAAAATGAATTTCAGTGGGGACAAATGTAAGGTTCTGCACTTAGGCAGGAAGAACTAGATGCACAAATAAAAGACAGAGGACACCTGGTTTGCTAGCAATACATGTTGATACTTTAAGCAATACTTTAAGAAAGCCGACTTCATAAAACTTAGGGAAGTCCTGAGTGAGATCCCATGGACAGTAATACTAAAAGGAAAGGGAGTTCATGATGGCTGGGAGTTTGTTAAGAGGGAGATAGTAAAAGCACAACTTCAGGCAATACCAATGAGACGGAAACATGGAAGGTGTCTAAAGAAGCCAGGGTGGCTATCTAAAGAACTTTTAACCGAGTTAAGATTAAAAAAGGATGTGTACAAAAAATGGAAAAGGGGGGAAACCACCGAAGAGGAATTCAAACAAATAGCCAGCACGTGTAGACACAAAGTCAGAAAAGCTAAAGCACAGAATGAACTCAGGCTTGCTAGAGAGGTTAAAAGCAACAAAAAGGCTTTTATGGGTATGTTCGTAGCAAAAGGAAGAACAAAGAAACAGTGGGGTCACTCAGAGGAGAAGATGGTGAAATGCAAACAGGGGACACAGAAAGGGCTGAACTCCTCAATGCCTTCTTTGCCTCAGTCTCCTCCGATAAAGAAAACAATGCCCGACCTGAAGAATTTGGAGCAAATGATTCAGCAAAGGAAACACAGCCCAGAATAACTAAGGAGATAGTACAAGAATACTTGGCTAGTCTAGATGTATTCAAGTCTCCAGGGCCAGATGAACTGCATCCAAGAGTATTAAAAGAACTGGCAGATGTGATCTCAGAACCACTGGCAGTCATCTTTGAGAATTCCTGGAGAACAGGCGAAGTCCCGGCAGACTGGAGGAGGGCAAATGTTGTCCCAATTTTCAAAAAGGGGAAAAGAGAGGACCCAAATAATTACCGCCCAGTCAGTCTGACATCAATACCAGGGAAGATTCTGGAGCAGATCATTAAGCAAACAGTCTGTGAGCACCTAGAAAGGAATGCTGTGATCACCAATAGTCAGCATGGATTTCTGAAAAAGAAGTCATGTCAGACTAACCTGATCTCATTTTTTGACAGAATTACAAGCCTGGTAGATGAAGGGAACGCAGTGGATGCAGCCTACCTTGATTTCAGCAAGGCATTTGACAAGGTGCCCCATGATATTCTTGTAAAGAAGCTGGTAAAATGCGGTCTTGACTATGCTACCACTCAGTGGATTTGTAACTGGCTGACTGACCGAACCCAAAGGGTGCTCATCAATGGTTCCTCTTCATCCTGGAGAAGAGTGACTAGTGGGGTGCCACAGGGTTCTGTCTTGGGCCCGGTCTTATTCAACATCTTTATCAACGACTTGCATGATGGACTCAAGGGCATCCTGATCAAATTTGCAGATGACACCAAACTGGGAGGGGTGGCTAACACCCCAGAGGACAGGATCACACTTCAAAACGACCTTGACAGATTAGAGAACTGGGCCAAAACAAACAAGATGAATTTTAACAGGGAGAAATGTAAAGTATTGCACTTGGGCAAAAAAAAATGAGGCACAAATACAAGATGGGTGACACCTGGCTTGAGAGCAGTACATGTGAAAAGGATCTAGGAGCCTTGGTTGACCACAAACTTGACATGAGCCAACAGTGTGACGCGGCAGCTAAAAAAGCCAATGCAATTCTGGGCTGCATCAATAGGAGTATAGCATCTAGATCAAGGGAAGTAATAGTGCCACTGTATTCTGCTCTGGTCAGACCTCACCTGGAGTACTGTGTCCAGTTCTGGGCACCACAGTTCAAGAAGGACACTGACAAACTGGAACGTGTCCAGAGGAGGGCAACCAAAATTGTCCAAGGCCTGGAAACGATGCCTTATGAGGAATGGCTAAGGGAGCTGGGCATGTTTAGCCTGGAGAAGAGGAGGTTAAGGGGTGATATGATAGCCATGTTCAAATATATAAAAGGATGTCACATAGAGGAGGGAGAAAGGTTGTTTTCTGCTGCTCCAGAGAAGCGGACACGGAGCAATGGATCCAAACTACAAGAAAGAAGATTCCACCTAAACATTAGGAAGAACTTCCTGACAGTAAGAGCTGTTGGACAGTGGAATTTGCTGCCAAGGAGTGTGGTGGAGTCTCCTTCTTTGGAGGTCTTTAAGCAGAGGCTTGACAACCATATGTCAGGAGTGCTCTGATGGTGTTTCCTGCTTGGCAGGGGGTTGGACTCGATGGCCCTTGTGGTCTCTTCCAACTCTATGATTCTATGATTCTATGTGAAAAGGATCTAGGGGTCTTAGTGGTCCACAAGTTTGACATGAGTCAACAGTGTGATGCAGCAGCAGCAGCAAAAAAAAGCTAATGCTATTCTAGGCTGCATCAACAGCAGTATAGTGTCCAGATCAAGGGAAGTAATAGTACCCCTCTATTCTGCCTTGGTCAGAACACATCTGGAATACTGTAACCAAATCTGGGCACCACAGTTTAAGAAGCATACAGTATTGACAATCTGGAACTTGTGCAGAGGAGGGCAACCAAAATGATCGGGGGGGGGTGGAAACCAGGCCTTATGAGGAAAGGTTGAAGGAGCTGGGTATAGTTAGCCTGCAAAAAATGGAGACAGAGAAGATATGATAGCCATCTTCAGATATCTAAAGGGCTGTCACATGGGAGATGAAAGAAGCTTGCTTTTTGCTGCCCCAGAGGGCAGGCTTCTAAACAATGGCTTCAAATTACAGGAAAGGAGATTCTGACTAAACATCAGGAAGAAGTTTCTGACAGTAAGAGCTGCTTGACAGTAGAATGGTCTCCATCGGAGGTTGTGGACTCTCCTGCCTTGGAGATTTCTAAACAGAGGCTGGATGGCCACCTGTTAGGGATGCTTTAGCTGAGATTCCTGCATTGCAGGGGTTTGGACTAGATGACCCTCAGGGTCCATTCCAACTACACAATTCTATAATTCTATGAGTCTATGATCTAGGTATATCATATTGTATAGCTGCTTATCATTCTGCCAGGCATAATTTTTCTCAGGCATCACCTACCCATCTTTTTCCAATCCAGAAATCCAAAAGTGGTTCTTAAATTTTTATGGAGATAATCACATACTCATGAGCTGAAAGTGCTATGTTTAATTCCTAGCTTGTCTGTTTCATATGGTTTCTTTTTTAATACAGAAACTTCCAAATAAGCTGACACAAGAGAAGGGTGAGTATCCTCAAGATACTGTAATCCAGTTCCACTTTGTGGTCTGGAAGTAGTTAACTATAAAACGTGGAGTGCTAGTATTATCTGACTTAACTCCTAGAGCAAAACAAAAAAGTTCTTATGAGAACTTTGTTATTACTAGAGAAGGCCCATTGTAATATCTGCTATATCAGTTCAGATCTCACATAGAACTAGTTACCTACCACTTGTTACATTCAGACAAAGCAACTGAATTAAAACCGTCAGAAGGTGGGTCAAGGCCTTTCCACTCCTTTTTTAATTGCCTGTGTACTGAGCCTTTGGAAAAGGACTTTTGGGAAATGGATCCCACTGCTGGGTCATGCTGGGTCCCATTCTCTATACAATCTGTTGCATCCAGCCCAAATACAGCACTTAAGCTAAAGAGCTCAAATTTTGCTTTCCACAAGAGTTGCATGATGAGAACTTTATTTCCCCTGTGTCTGCAGTGAGAAAATACAAAAGAGATGGAGGACATCATCCTGTATTCAAGTGAACACTCCTGGCAATTTTTTTGTTTTGTGATATTCACCCAGCTCTAATAAGCGAGGTTTCTCTCATTCAGCCACATGCCTGGCAGTATGATCTTTTAAAAGAGGTCTGGGAAGTGGATTGTTATTAGGGTCTTGAAGATTGTTTGCCGGTATTTAAGGATCAGCAGTGCCATGTTCTCATTAAAGTGCAAGGACATCCAGTGTATTTACTTCTTATTCAGAACTCCTCTGAACTGTTGGGTGTAGTTTTCAATGACTTCAAGTGTCCATCCAGCCAATGCCATATTTAAGAGGGAAAGAACACTCTTCTCTTATGTACAGCTGACTCAGCTACAGAGTTAAACAAACAAATATTAAAAAGGCAAACTTAAGTGATGATCTTGCCAAGTTAAACACTTTGAACTTTGTTGGTTTCATGAAAGAGTTAAGCACATGCTTAACTTTCTCTTATTACAATGATAGGGTTTAAAAGTAGCTGGATCTTAGCTGGATTGCTCACAATTTACTATGAAAACATACTTTAAAGGATGCCTTTATTATGTGAATATTTGAGAGGGTAGCAGTATTAGTTTCAACAAAAAAGCAGATAGTTTTGCAGCAATCAGTTGATTTATTGTGGCACAAGTTTTCATGAATTTGAGCCAGATTCCAGATTTCTTGAATGTGTAACTAACTGGCCTCTGGTTCACAAAAGCTTATGCCAAATAACTCCATCTTTAAAATTGCTGCAAGACTGTGCTGTGCTTACTATGAAAAATAATCTCTGTAGCAATATATTAAGTTTACTATTATAATAGGACCCATTCACACAGGCATGTACATCACTTGATTAATCTGAGAATATTCACATGCATACAGTAATGTGTGAACTGACTCCAGTGGAATGCACTGTATCTGAGGTGAACAACTGCTTAAAGTCCCATCTGTGTTGTTAGACCTGTGATAACACATTCACACACACAGATCTTCACCATGTTGCTGCAGTCATCAAGCAATGAGCATGAATGTGTGAAACAGTCATGAGTTCCTCTTCTAAACTTCATTACAGTTTTTTATGAACAAGGCATGGGAGGAAAGTGGAGAAACTGAACTGAGAGCTGCTGCTTCCCTGTATTATCAACCTTGAAAATATTAAAGCTCTACATGAGGCAGCTTATTGGGGACAGGGGCTGCTTCATCTAAGTGGGACCAGTTCACACATGAGTTCATTTCTATTCACTTGATTACTCATCTCTTAATGGCTCACAACTGAATGCTAATTCTGTCCTTTTCGATGTCTGGTTTCGGAAGTGATAGCCAAATTCTGCCTGTGGCTCCTCCACGCATGCAATTTCCAGAGTAATAGTCATGTTAGCCCTTTGCTTATTTATATATTTCATAAAATTTATATACTGCTTGATTGTAAAAAAAAATCAAAGCAGTAGCAAGAATCATTGTGGCACCTTAAAAACAAAAGGTGCTGTTGTGGTATAAGATTCTGTGGTACTGAAGTCCACTTTATCAAATGCTTGAACCACTATCCACTGCTGGAAGATGGTATCTAATATTAGCTGAAATAGATATGGCGTGGGATCCAATGCACTCCCTCCATTAGCATAAGGATATCCCTCCTTCCCTGTGCACACCCCTCACCCTTCCAAAACCACTGAAGGGTTTAGGAAAACTCCAGAACAGATTTAGGGTGTGGGTTGTATACAAGGAGAGGAAGTTCCAATGGCACAGCCCACAGTCCTTGCACTGATGGAACAAACTTGTTGAAATAGATACATGGCAACAG